AAACTTGCATGAATACATGGGGATTGCTTATGCTCACTACGCATATGTAAAAATCAACCCTTCTAATAAATGATGTCACTTGTTATAACTTCATAACATTCAAATGGTCAGTAAATGTAATTAAGTTATACTACTATGTAGGTATACTCAAAAAGTGTGGCATTTATTTTTCTTTAAGTAGTACCAAGTACCACTCATTCCTAATTTGTGAGAAACAATCTATTCAGATGTATAAACACCAATGGTTGATTACTACCTCTCAGTTTCCTCCAGGCTCTTCCAAAAAGCCTACTTATGTCAACATGCTATGGACTTAAGTGGTGGTTAGGTAAGTCATACACTGTCCAAACTATTCACTATAGATACTTAATATAAATCCTATCTAATGAATATATACAAAATTGGTTTATTAGTAGGAAACTGTAGAATCATTTGGATTACTGGATCATTAAAATTGTAATTATAGCTCAGCCAGTGTGGTTCAGTGGTTGAGCACTGACCTATGTACCAAGAGGTCACTGGTTTGATTCCTGGTCAGGGCACATGTCCAGGATGTCGGCCCAGTCTCCAGTGGCAGGCATGCAGGAGGCAGTCAATCGATGTTCTCTCTCATCAATGTTTCTCTCTCTCTCTTCTCTCCCTTCTTCTCTCTCTCTATCTAAAAGTCAATAAAGAAAAAAAAATTGTAATTATAAGGATCACAATGTATGTAAGAAAAATGCAAAAATCTACTAATATTTACTGATATCTTGCTATATAACAGGGAGTACTAGGAAGATGTTATATATTATTTTCTTTATAAAAATAGCCAAAGCATTTGTGGATTTTTGTGTGTAATTTCACCATGCCGAGAAGGCATAAGACAAGTAGTCATTGTACCTTCACAGCATACAGATTTGACAACGATAAAATATGGGGTTGATATGTGGTGTGAACACAATGGCCCAGCCTTTACATTTCACTGGGATTTACTTGATGTCTAGTTGTCATGAAGTACACAGTAGTTTTTCTTTTATTATTATTATTGATTTTTTTGTGTGTGTGAAAATGGCTCTGAAAAGAAAGCCAAATGCTTTTATTGCATTTTATAAAATAAATTCCATACTAGAGTGCTATTCAGCAATTTGGGAATTTGTGAGGATCTTAGAATCTGTTTACTATGTCTCAGATTGTCACTGAGAGAAATCTAAGTGAATCCATTATGACATATAAGAGAATAGTATGTCTTAAAGCTTCAGGGATTAAAGCACTCCCCATAAAATAACCTGCTAGAAATATACAATGTTAAAATAAACCCTTTCCTCTAAGGTTTAAGCTTAAGGGAACAAGCCCAAGCTAGCTCTGGAGAACTTGAATGGTTCTTTCCTGCAGCGTATATCTAAAAGCCATTGATTTGCCTTTCACAGTTCCTGCTCCATAATGTGGGGATCTTCTCATCAATCCCCTACCTAGGGACTAAATTAATATGACATAGTATTTACAATGGAACTAATGAAATCTCCTCCTTCTTGGCTGTAGACTATTTTTCTGCTCATTTAAGATATAATTTATATCACATTATGCTTCCCCTCTGCCCTTTCTGCCTCAGATTCAGAGATCCCTTCCCATTCATCTTGGGACTATGATTTAGGAACTACAGCACAGCTGAAATAACATTCACTTTTCCCTTTACTCATTCAGCTGCATGTTCCCAGTACAGATGCTCATTTAGAATCATGATTAATAGTTGTGATTCACACAGAAGTCAATTGGTCCTCTGCCTTTTTCGACCTAGCGGTGTTACTGAATTTCCTCACTTTCAAATTCTAGCCCCAGATACATTGGATGAACAGGTGAAGCAAGCGTGGCTGTCATCATGCTGTATAAACTTGTCTACCCGATGCTTTATTTCTCTTTACTGTGTGAACAGTGTATTAATAGCTACGGTGTCGATGATTCTCCCAGATCTCTGGGACAATCCACAGAAAACAGAGATGAACAGAATGGAGGGTTGAAGAAAGGATGCCCTGTCCCTCTGCCTAGAAATCATTCCAAGTCAGTCTGTGGCAGGGCTCTCTCTCTGGAGGGGCAATCCTTCACAGAACTTTGTTAGATTTATTCATAGGCCTAAACGGAAGACAATCAGGGAAAATACACCAGGTTCTTAATAAGTGTGTCTTATTCTGGATAAATGACTAATTCACTACATTATAGATATGACCAAAGTTTTTCATAAAATATTCTCTGGAGCCATCAAATACAAATAAAAAGAAACTTGTTTTTTTTTTTCTTAACTCATTATCTACTAGTGAGGATTTTGACTATTTGGCCTGGAAGCATTGTTAGAAAAAATTTTAAATGCCTTATGTTTACTTAAATTTTTTAACGCCTTTTCCCCACTTACAAAATAATATATGCACAATCACTGTAGACCATGTAAAAATTCAGGAAAATATAAAGCAGTAGAAATGATCCATATTTCCATCTACCCAATTTGTATAATTGGCCCCTGGCCACTAACAGCATGTTAGTCATTATCACTGGTAGATTGAACAAATAGGTTTCATGTAATGTACCCAGAACAATGTTACTTTGTTTCCTACTGTCCTTTTAAATCTTGCCTATAGGCAGAGGAACAGGCTTCCCCAAACACCCAGAGAAAGACTTCTTTTGATTACTGGTAGTAAAAGTCAAAATTGAATCCATTGTCTTATGTACACAATTAGAATGTTTAGTTCTCATACCATGATTAAAACTCTACCCTTGATTTAAAGTTCATCTTCCGGCCCCTCCATAAGATCAGGGCTGTTGTTGGAGGAGTGAACTCTGTTTTCTTTCCTTCCCTGTTGACTAATGATATTCATCTATAAACTGAAAATAAGAATAGTCCTTGCCCCAATGATATAATTAGTCTGAGGATTAATGTGATAACACATAGGAAGTACTTAGAAAAATATCTAGCTCATATTACTACCAATGTTACCATGGGAAACAAATATGTATTTTTCTATTCCCAGCTCAGACCCAGATCAGTCCCAACACAGACACCCCTTTCCTGCTCATCTGTTAGATGCTAAGAAAACCTATCTCTTGCCTGTGGGGTTCTCAGGGGAGTCAGACACCAGTCTACCCCCATCCTGCACAGGGTATTCACTAAGCCCTCCATGTGGCTCCACTGAAGCCCTAGCCACCAGGCTGGGAGTAGAACTTAAATTCCTCCAAAGTTCCTATTCATAAAATCCCTTTCCCCAAATCTTCAACCCTCTTTAATCCATATAAAATAAGGGGGGTTAATAATAGTCTAACATGTTTTCAACAGTTCCCTTTGAAATATTGGTGGTGTTGGTTGGCTCATTTTAAAATATGCATTTTTTAATATATTAAAATCTCAGTTAAAAACCCTATTTTAACATCTTCATTATCAATCTATCTATCTGTCAATCATCTGCCTATCAGTCTACTCTAACACCATATACACACCTATCCACACACATCGAAGACTCAGGGTCTGAGATGAGACTGACCGGATACATCCTGATTGTTTCTAGCTGTCCGTTTTGAGTTAGTCACTTATCTTTTTTTTTTTTTTTCCTGCCTTAATTACCTTTCTTTTTCAAAAATACAGTTACTGTGAAGATTAATGTAAGAACACATAAAAAGTGCTTAGGAAAATATCCAGCCCATATTACTAACAATGTTGCACTAACAAACAACAAGACCATAATCATTATTATTATAATTATTATAAATGTCCTCTTTATTACTTATTTGTTTGCCTTATGAGAATTTCCACATCATTATTCTTCTCTACATTGTAATTGTTTTACAGTATTCAGCTGTACAAATGGAACATAAATTTCAATACTAACTGGACACATATATCATTTCTAATATCCTGTCACATCATTGGCCATCATTGTGTTTATCAACTGTTTTATTCCTTTTTAGAATATATTGATTGAACTGGAATTACTGGGTCAAAATGTAATTATTTTAAGGCATTTAATACATGTTGACAAATTATCCTGCAAAAAATTATATCACTGTATACTATATGTTCATGACCATCTTAAAATTCTGGACAGTGATATACTATCAGTCACTGATTTAAATGTAAGGGCATCCATGGAAGAAAACTAAGAACAGGCACTGGGTGTTCTCTTGTCTCCTCACAGAGTATGTCAACAGCTTTCTGAAAACCTTTTCAGACCTGGCAGCTAACAAAGCTCATTTAGGGTTGGATGAGAATAAATCGAATGTATCTTCAGAACCAGAGAGTTCCAGTGATATAACCATACTGACCATTCTTTTTAATAGAACAAGAAAATGAAGTGAGAATAAGCAGTAGTGGCTGTCTATGATGGTGGCTCATTATGTGATACTTAGATCAAAGTGCTTTAATTATGTAAATTCATCTAGTGGATGAGTGTTAATAAACTTCTATTTAAATAAAGTAAATCAAAATTCTGCTTCTCCTTAGCATATTATAGTTCAATTAAATTCCTGAGCACAGTCAGTAACTGTGAAGTTATACAGTTGAGAAAATCAATCACCAAGGATTGTAAATCAGCTAGACACTAGTCTAATGTAAAGCACACAGTAATCAGTCAGTTTTGTTAATAGAGGAAAAGTGTCACGTGTATCGTAAGAGAGGATGCCGTCGTTCTCATTTTCAGCATTCCAGGTAGGTATTAGTATCAAGAGGGTGCCGATTTTATCAAGGTCTCACAAACTCCCTGATACTTGGCTCAAGGTATCTCCTTTCTTAAGTAATACGGACATCCATTTATTTTTCTTAAAAATGTTAATTTAAAATGCTCTGTTTTAGAAAAGTCATCTTCCTGTGATACTCTCTGCCTCTTGATGTCCTCTTCTCTTTCACACACACACATACAATACACACATACCCACAACATATACACAACACACACACACTCACTCCACACTCACAGAGGCATATAACTTCAACAGAGCAAAACAAAACAGCCATTCTACCACCGAAATACAACCATTGGACCAACCTTATAAAGTAGTGGCAATTTTCCTAATTTCAGGAGTGCAATCTGGTTTGTTATGTTTTTCATAGTTTTAATCCTCTTTAAGTCATCTGCAGTTCCATAACTCACATCAATGACTTCAGCCTGAAAGAAGAAAAAAACAAAGAAAACCAAAGCCTTGTAGGAGGAATGACAGCAAATTGTTCATTTGATGTGACAAAAGCATTCGTAGCAATGTGAAATGTTCAGTCACCACATACATGGCCTTCCTATTCCTGTCACACACAACAATTCTTGTGGTCAATTGAGAAAACGTTTGAGAGTCCTGGTTGCTTTGTCCTCTCCCTTCTATGAAAGTTACAAAACCAGTTCATACCTCTAACAGATCACCAAATTTATTATATTCTAGATTTGCATTTCTGGAATTTGAATCATTTTATAAAACAATGAAGGAGTAATTTCATTAAGGTTCAATTACAATCATACCAGTCTCAGGCTTAAAACCAATGAAAAGACTCTACTGTTACCCAAATGAAGTAGGACAACCACCATGCATGGCTGTTCAGCTTGAGCATGAATCCAGGTGTGAATAACCACCCCTTGGGCTGTGCGGGATAAAACCTGTACTACTACATATGTTAGTCTGGCACTCACGAACTTTAAAATATGATCCCCAACTACTACTATTTCTGTCACTACCCCCTGAGAGTTATACTCTACATCAATATTTCTCATTTTTCAAAGATTCCTTTTATTAAAGTGAAAAGGTCATGCCTCTCCAGAGATCCTAATGGGCATCCTCTGACATACTTGCTCCTTTCTTCCTCCTTGAAAAGTATTGCACTGTAGGTTTTATCAAACACATGTTCCTATGAGCCAACGTGATATATTTCATCTTTACTTTCTGTAATTTCTATTATCGAAACAGTCATGCTTTTCACTGATACAAAATGGGCTGTTTCAATTTATAGACTATCTACATTGAGGTGTTGATAAGGAGTTAGTGGTGGCAAGTAATGCAAGTGTGAAGGAGGAGGCTCCAGGTCTTGAACTTCCCACCCATTTATTTGGAGCTAATGTACTTCAACCCGCTTTTGAAAAGGGCTTCCGTAGAAGTCTCAGTTCAGGAAAGAATTTTGTTTTTAGAAGAACATATGAACACCACCAAGAGACTGGTAAGTCTGCTAGAAAAAACATTTCTGGCATAAAGTATTTCCTTAGCAATTGCATTCATCTTCATTTGCAAAAACTTTACTAAATACATTGAAACTCATTTCATATGTTATCTAGATGTCTCATGAGTTGTATTTCTCTGTTGCTCAATTATATGTGACTTTCTCTCATTTGAATCCCAGAGTGATCTGCTTCTGTCTCTCTTAACACCCCCATGGAACCCATAAACTTACATATGTTTTATTTTCTGGTATAGGAGAATTTTCTTAGCAATGAGCCCATTGTGTACCGATTCTCACCCAGGCGTCCAGTACACACTGTTGGCTTAACTGTCTTAAAATGATTACAGCTTATAAAATATCTCTGAGAAGTTAAGCTGTACTTTCAAATGGATTTGCCATGAAAACCTAATTGGTAAAACACTTCTGTCAGAATGGTTTTGATTATAATTTTGTTCCGATTGAAATATGATTAAATCAGTGCTTTATTAATACAACTTTTGAGTTTCCTAATACCATTATGATATACATAACTGTTGATCTATGATTTTAAAGGCCTGGTTAAATAAATGATTACATACTATTAATAATCACATTGAAAACTGAGAGAATTCATACTTTCCACTTCAAATTTCTAAGCTAACTACTAATTATTTATGATTCACTGAGTGCATCTTAAAACAGGGCTATTACTCAATTGGTTACATTAATGAACATAATTTTCTTATTTGGGAGAGTTTAGGAGGAAATCACACTGGTCTGAGAGGATGCAGGCAAGTCTGCAACTTTTTTGTTTGTGTACATACCAGAACAATATGGCAGCTACAAAAATACCAATTCTGTAAAAGACATTTACATTATTGGAAAACAGCAATAACTTGCATCTACAATGGCAGTTTCAATTAAAGAATTCTTCAATGCATCTTCTACAAATAGCACATGTTAACAGATTAAAACATTTTAACATAATAGATGGTTTTTTTTCCCACAAAAATATTCCTCAACACAGGCTTCATTGTATCAATTTATTTTGGCTTACGTATTTTGAGGCTATTCATTAAATATCAGTAATTACAGAAGTCTCAATGGTCTGATGGTTTGACAGGTAATAATAAAAATGTATGTATTGCTTTCAAAGAACGCCTCTGAACCAGGTTCTTTCTGGTTTACCTTCAAGCAAGGTGAAAATCACAGCTGCAAAACAGCACATGGAATTTTTCTCAGTCACAAATCAACAATGATATGATAAAACACCAAGCCATTTCTTTCCACATTCTAGTTGCAGCAATGCACCTCTTCTCACTGCAAGTATTTTGTCACACTAGAAAGTCGTCCACTCGACTGGTTGGGTGACTATCATTAATTTACATCCAAATATTAAGAATTAAGTCACTTCTGACGAGTCCCTTTGGGAAATGTCGAATGAGCAGGAACATTGGTCCCCGTTGAACTGCTCACTGGGTGCACCACTTTCCCACGCTGGACTTTGCGAACACGTCGGGGGAGAGCACCAAGAGGGACAAAGGAAAATGGAGCCAGTTTTGTTCTGTTTTAAGTTTTGTTTTTTTTACCAAAGAGAAATATAAAAAAGTCCCCAAATTAATTATGTTTAAATAATATGTTAATTTTTGGACTATGAACAAATAACTTAAAACAACAGCAACAATTCAGACAGAAAAGCAAATATTTTATACTTGGGTATAAAAGAGTATTTAGAAGACAGCAGACAGCGACGGGCCATACAGGAAGGGCTGAGAGGAAGACTGGGGCACTTCAGAAATAAACATGAAACACTAAAATGCAATCACCTTCTACCTATGGCAAAATAATTGGTGAGAAGGAATCATAAACCAGACAATAGACAATGACTAAAAATCAAAATATTAAAAAGTGATTCTATTATGTCCGTGGTTCTGCTACTGTCATAACCAATTAGCTAATATTGAAACAGGAAGAGAGTCCTGGCCGGTGTGGCCCAGTTGGTTGGGCGTTGCCCTGCACACCAGGAGGTTGCCTGTTTAGTTACTGGTCAAGGGCACGTGCTTGGTTGTGGGCTCCACTCCCAGTGAGGGGCATGCAGGAGGCAGCTGATCGATGCTGCACTCTCACATTGATGTTTCTCTCTCTCTCTCTCTCTCTCTCTCTCTTGCTCTCTCTCTCTCTCTTCTTCTCTCCCTTCCTTTATCTCTAAAAATCAATAAACTATTTTTTTTTTAAATAGGAAGAAAGCAAAGGGGAGGCCAGATGTTATAAGTATTGTTGTCGGCAGCACCACCAGGAAGCTCTAGTTTCACACTCCCTGGAAAACCACTGGTCCACTCCCTGCAAATCACTGGGGGAAGTGACCAACGAAGGGGAAGTCGGATGAGGTAGGGAAGGTCCCGGCCTGTCAGTCCAGTCTGGGGAACAAAGGTAACTGCCTAGGGTTAGAGCCACTGCAAGCATGTGAAATCCTGAAGGACTCACTGATTAAGCTCCAGGTAAATTTCTTCTTTGTTACTCTCGCACTCCTGTTTCTCACTTGTTCTATGACCCACACTAGCCTGCCATGTGGCCCTAGAAACTGCATGGTCCATGGCCATGTAGACTCCACATGCAATAGACTATAGCTGGGAACACAATCTAAGCTAGCCAGATACTGGACTAGACTGGACTTGAATATGGAGCAGAAACTCTGGGCAGTGGCTTTAATCCTAACTCCCTCAATATTACATCATCAATAAAGCTTTTCATGATACCTCATTCTCTTGTGGGGACCCAGGAAATTCTTGTTCTCATGACACCTCAAGAATTCCACCTGTACCAGGAGCAGGTGGGACACAGAGAACACCCCACTGATTACAGTTCTATGGTTCTATACAAAAATGGAGGGTTACGCTGAGCAGAAGCAACGGAAGACAGAATTGAATACATTATTTCCTGCGTGAGCTAAATAAAATAAATAGAACAATCATAGAATATAAGTAGGTCAGAGAAGTGTCTCTGGAGACATCCACCTGTAGTTGGCCTGAGCTCCACACTGAGGAATAATCCAGTGCCATGTTTCTCTTCTGCCTTGAAGTAGAAAAAATTATGCATGCTTAGGAAATGATATATGCTTTGAAATTGTTCAGACTTGACATTTTCAACCAAATCAATCACTCTGAATTCTCCTAGTTCATCTCTAAGAGAGATTCTGAATGTACAGAATATTTAAAAAGCCTGCTTTGACTAAAACAGTAATTTTTTCTTCAAATTTAGAAATGGTAAACTGAAGCAGTTCTCATACTGACAAAATACATCATCAAAAGTATTATTCATCTCAATATAATTTTTACTTTAGAAATTTACCGCTATCTTACATAATTTAGCTGTTGAATATTCTTTAAATTAAGGCGTTTATGCTTATTAAAAACTTGTAAAGTCAAACTGATCTCTGATGTTTACCTTTGTCCTTTCTAGATAGCATAAGTATATTAGTACTTATGAAGAGTTCAATATTCAGAGGTTGTTAGACTTTTATTAATACCTCTTTTTCAAGTTTAAGCAAGGGCTTTTCATCACCGACATTATCAGGAAAGTTACAATGTATTGAAGCATAAACTCCCTTGGGCTTCCTCCCCACCCCATGGCAGACCTCACTAATCAACCATAGTTTTTCTAACTGCTTCTCTAACCATTTTCTAGCTAATCAAGACCAATTAGGTAGAGATTGACATAAGAAGGGAGCTATATAAAATATTTAATACTTTAATGTTAAATAATTGCTAATTTAAATAACTGAGAGTCAAACTAATATTTACTTATTTAAAATATTTAATAACTGAAATAGCTCAAGTACTAATCATTTACAATGGACTCTTGACCAATCAGAAGGACATCAGCTAGTGTGTGAAACTAGTATATGCCAACTGAATTTAGCACTAAGCATGAGAAACACAATCCATTTTTCTGTGTTTGGTTTAAGCAATCAGATAAAGGGCTGGCTTGTCA